GGGACTGCCGCCTCGACCACCTGGTTGCCACTACGTTGAATGTTCATTTCAAATAAGCGCCTGATGGTGGTACCGTTGTTCCGCTACAAATTCTCCGCCCCTTAATTCTTCCCACTCCGATGATGAGAATGAGGTGATAAGGAGAAAGAGCTGGTATCAGCAAGCGAGAACTCGTTCACAACTTGCTAAGGATTCCCCACCAGGTGAGAGGGACCGAGAAAACGTTTTTTGATAGTTGGTTTTCTTGTTTCGGGCTCGTTGTAAAAGGGATGGACGTCCTTGCTTGTTTTGTGAGGGGGCTTCTAGCTTTCTGACAGGAAGATGGCAGGTCGAAGTGGCCATTTGAAATGAAATGTATACCGGCTGAAAGGTCTTCGGACGGGAATTACGAAACCGTCTTCCATATCTGCTGCGGACCTCCCAGAAAGAAGTTACGGAGCTTCTTAAAGGGGGGGGGTGCTGGCAGGCGCAGTATGCCGACGGGGGGGGGGGCATTTTGCACTTTCGTTGCTTCACTAGTTCTGGTTTACAAGTCTCACTCTGGTGAAACCTGTGAACTCTTGTGAAGCTGGAGCAAGCTCGTCAAGCCATCATGGTAAAACCTGTCAACTCGAGAAGAGGCTGTCTAGATGGGTCGACACGTCGATGGGAAGTCGTTGAAGTGCATACTGGCATTCATTACGAACTGGCAGCGTGAGGTTTATGCAATCGTAGCAGCGTGGTCGAGTGGCTACGTCGTAGGGCTCGAGCGCGTCGGCAGCGAAGAGTTTATACCATTTTCACTTTAAATTCACCACTTTTCAAACCAAATTCACCACTTTTCAAACCAAATTCACCACCACTTTCCAAATCAAATTCACCACACTTATTAGGCCGGGCAATTCATCAACCAGATCACGCCAGACATCACTGCGAGCCCCGCCCCGACGGCCACGCCCACTTGTCAGCGCGGACATAGATTTTCAAATCTTGTTTCATAACTTCTGCTTCTGTGACTTTTCTTGTTTTGCTGTTTCCCACAAACACTTTGAGTGAAAACGACCGGACATCGACACATGACCGACTCCGCCGTTACTTCAAAGAGTTTGACAATCTAGGCCCTGCCCCCTTGGCCACACACACTTGCTTTTTGCGGAATTTGGACAATCTTTCAAAATGGTTGCACTTTTGGACTGCTACGTGAAGCCCCGCTTTCTGAGAGAGGCTCCCCCAGTTTTCAAAAATAGTGAACATGCAAGCCAAGACTCTATACCGCCGCTTTGCAATTTTTGAATAGTCGGCGTGGCCCCTTCAAAGTGGGCGGAGCCTCCCTCAGTGGGCGGGACTTCACACAGCGTCGAAAATCGCAAAATTCTGAAAAAAAAATATTAAAATTCCGCAAAGAGA